GTGTCTTTGGCAGAGTGATGAGTACATTTGAGTACTGCTTCCATGAGCAGCGTTCAGGCATTCTGCATCCACCAGGATTTCCGTGGAGGTATGGCGTTTAAACACATTCGCTCGAAGACTGTGCATGCGGGCCTTGATCTTGAACAGGCGCACAGGCCTGTATTCCAGGAAGGAATCTGCACGAGCCCAAAAGAGTTTATTGCGACGAGCCGCCGGCATTCCGACTTTCAGCCTTTAGTGCTACAAGAAACATTCGGCCGTTGGCCGCGGAGCAGTCGTTTTTGGAATCGTCCCCACATGCTGGTGACTAACACGAGTCTGGCACTTGGCCGGATCATTGCAGCAAAGCATCTTTCGCCTTAGCCGTCAGCTCTATTCACTCTATTCTCGGAGCTCAAGTGCTACAAGTCGCCTTCAGGGATATTTTGTAACCAAGCCTCCGAGCTGATCTGCCGACTCTAAGGTTTAGCTTCAAAGAACATGTGTCAGCGGCCGACGAGATCGAGCTGTTGAAAGCTATCAACACTCTTCCGCAGTGGCTTTGCTGCGATCTCCAGGCGTGGGGCAATTTGCGCACGAGGTTTTGGTGTAATTTGTCCAGGCGGTGACAGGTCATGTTTGTGTCGGACTCTGCGGACGGGTTGTATTTATTGATGCAGATGTTTGGCCTCAAGCAGAGGATGTGTATGCAGGGAGACTTATGGACCACCGCATGTTCTGACTTGGCTCTAACATTTGTTCGAGTTGCCTTCCAGAAGCCCCGGCAGCTCCAAATCTGATCTCACCTGCAGCCTCGCCGTGATGTCAAGACTTGTGAATCCCAAACCCACCGCCAAGGAAAATCCCTGAGATCTTGCAGAGCACCGTGGGCTCCGATTTGCGACTGCCTGGCGGCCAGAGCCACCCAGCAGGAAAGAACCGAAGTATGGCGCCTTGGCATCTCAGGGACCGGCAGCCCCGTCCAAGTCTGCCAACCTCGACCAGCAAGAACCAACCAAGAATATGTGGTCAGCTTTCAAGTTTCAAGGCATTCATCCTGCCGGCATTTCGAGCAGGGAGCTCTGTCCGACCTGTTTTTCAGTGTCCAATTCACCGACCGAGTTTGTCC